ATGCAGAGGCAGGCCATGGCAAGCCCCCCCTGAAACATCTCTTGCCATGGAAATCCTATGGGGTTGTCTTAAGTTTCTCTGATATTAAGCAAAGAATGGGTTTTGCGAGTGAGTGATGAGAATCCCGATTCCATCACATTCGTATCCACTTCCACCTCACCTTTCTCCCCAATGGGGACCCAAAGCGGCCTACAATGTTTTCCTCCCCTCCATCTTACCCTCACAACAGCCCCGTCAAGGTAGGCCAGGCTGTGAGGGTGCCATTGGCCCAAGGTCGCTCTTCTATTTCATGTCTCCCCTCCCTCCCAACAGGGACATGCAGCAGCTTCACTCGTTCTCCTTCCGAAGGTGGAAAAGTGAACAAAATCTGGGTAAGGCTACTCCTCAAGGGTGTTAGCAGAGTTGCACGGAGATTTGGTCTGAAGACTCTGGACCCAGGTCCAAGGAGTTTCTTCAGATGCCCGCCTGTGCCCAAGCGGGAACGGGGTGGTGAGCCTTGCAAATTTGGGAATGGAGCTGCCCTTTGCCGTCACATCGATTACTGCTCGCTAACTTCTACCAGTTTTGTTTTGTTTGCTTTTTGCATTTTTGAAATGCAGAAGTGGAAAACTGATGGAAATGGTTCACAACTTAAGGATTCATGGATGCTCCCACAGGCCAGTGCTGAGCGGTTAGGATCAGAAATCATAGTGCAGCCAGCAAGCCGTTGATTCCCCGAGCGGAGCCGGAAGAAGAAGGGTGAAGGAGGACAAGGTTTAGGTTGGCAGGCATGACCACTGAAGCATTTTATACAATGTATGTTTGTGCCCCGTATTGTTTTCATTTTCAAAACTTGGAAAGAAGCTTGCGTTGGCTCTGCAGGGCACAAAACGGCAATTCAACTCAGATCCGTTACCCTGATCCACTGGAATACGGGAGAAGCCAGACAGACTCATGACCCCAGGCTCTGGTTTCAGGTAGGGTTTCCCCTCCCTCCTGACATGGACTGACATGGTTGGAGAAGCCCCGCCCCCGCCCCACCAGCTGAAGGCCAGGTGGGGTTTGCGGTTCAGGCTGCGGCCCTCCAGATAGTCAAGAAGACTGCTAATAAAAGCCATGGATCCTCCTCTCATCGGTCGTGCAGCAGGTCCATCTGTCAATCTGTCCTGGTGCAGGAAAGGAAACTCACAGAATCATAGAGTTGGAAGGGTCATCTAGTCCAACCCCCAAAATCTGCAGACTGCTGGAGGGGTGGGGGGTGGACACAGGATGTATTGGGCAGTTTCTGCCACAAATCACCTTATGATGACACGAAGCTGCCTCCTACTGAATCAGAATGATGCAGTCCACCAAGGTCAGTCTTGTCTACTCTAACTGGCAGCGGCTCTCCAGGGTCTCGGGCTGAGGTATTTCCCATCACTTACTGCCAGATCCTTTAACTGGAGAGGCTGGGGATTGAACCTGGGACCTTCTGCACGCCAAGCAGAGGCTCTGCCAGTGAGCCACGGCCCCTCAGAAGCTTTAGTTCCTCTGCCACTCAAACTGCAGGGGACCTGATGACAAGAGGGAATCAGGATGGCCAGCTGCGGGCCTGTAGCCAAGGCTCCCTCTAAGCTGCGGAGTCTTGTGAGCAAAAATTCTCCTCTGTGAGCTGCTGGCATTAAAGTTGCGAGCGAGCCATTTGGCTGCTGCATAAATTTGTTTGCTCTGGAGCCATCCCTTCCTGAGCTCAGACAAAAATGGGTGAGCCGGAGGCTAAAAAAATGGTGAGCCAGCTCACACTCACTCAGCTTAGAGGGAATACTGTAGCTAGAAAATCTTTGGGGAGGGCACTTGGGGAACTGGTGGGGCATGAGGTCACAACATTTTTAAAAGTGCGTGTGCAGCATCTCAGAGCAGCAGCACTGAGGCAGCTCCCAGCTGGCTGTTTATCCGGGAGGAGGAGGTGGCGGCGGGGAGACTGGAAACTGCTTGTGTCCCATTTCCCTCTCGTGTGTGGGTGCATCATTCTTCTCCCCCTCCCCCCCCTTTGCTCCAGCCCTGGATTCTCCATGTTGGCCCCGATCTGAGGAGTGTCTACGTCGCTGCCACTTACTCCAGGGCTTTGCGACTGGAAGTGGAATCAGCTGCCCAGGGAGGTGGTGAGCTCCCCTTCACTGGCAGCTTTCGAGAAGAGGCTGGACGCATATTGGTCAGGGATGCTCTAGGCTGGTCCTGCACTGGGCAGGGGGTTGGACTAGATGGCCTGTAGGTCCCCTTCCAACTCTGAGATTCTATGACACCCTCCCTCCCTCCCCCCACGGCCACGGTCTGGCACCCGGTGGAGTGAAGGCGATGGGCAAGAGAAGGGAACATTCTATGACATCCTCCCCCCCCCCACGGCCTGGCCGGTGGAGCTAATGCGATGGGCAAGAGAAGGGAACCAGCGGCCTTGATGGAGTGGCCTGTCGCCGGATGGCCCGCCTGCCCTGGCTGGTGTGGGTACAGTGAGGCCACCAGCGCTCAACCGAGTCGAGTCAATCTGTGGGGCAGCCGGCAGCACTCACTGCCCCACTGGCCAATCATGGGTAGAATTTCTGTGTGCTGCTGTTAGGAGGCATAATGGAGGCAAGGCCAGTGAAACTATGCCAGCCCTTTCATGGGTATCATGTGGTGCGGCACTGCACAAATTAAATGGGGGGGAAGCAAATTTTTAAAAATAAAAACGCAATTTTTAGGCATGGAGACTTGTGGGCGTGGCGTCAAAGAAGAAGAGAAGAGAGAAGAGGAGATTGGATTTATACCCCACCCGTCACTACCCAAAGGAGTCTCAGAGCAGCTTACAAACTCCTTTCCCCTCCCCTCCCCACAACAGACACCCTGTGAGGCGGGTGGGGCTGAGAGAGCTCTTGACAGAAACTGCTCTTTTTCAAGGACAGCTCTTATCAGAGCTACGGCTTGCCCAAGGTCATCCAGCAGCTGCGAGTGGAGGAGTGGGGGATCAAACCCGGTTCTCCCAGATTAGAGTCCGCGCACTTAACCACTACACCAAACTGCCCCCCAAAGGGGGTGTGGCCAAGAGATGCCACACCTTAGCGACGGGCCCAGCCAGCTGCCTCCCCCTGTTCACGGCTGAGGCCAAATCCCCCCGCGCGACATACCTGAATCTCTACAAGGTAGATGGGCTCCATTAGTCGGGGCTGGGCAGTGAGGGCCGAGGCATACAGGACCCTCCTTGCCGTGGGGATGATCTGCCCCCCACCACGATGGATGGCGTCGGCGTGGAGGGTAACATCATGGATGTCGAATCGAACCCCCCGCATGTTTTCCTCACAAAGAACACCCTGCGAGACAAAGACAGCTTGAGATGACCCAACAGCACATGATTGTCTAGGCTGGTACTCCGGTTGAAACATAAAACAGCTGTATGTAGCGATAGTAGTGGGAAGACCTTACTCTGTTACGGTGTTGCAAAGCTTACAGAAAACTAAAGACGGGTATTCACAGCGACCAAAGTGATGGCTACGAACGTAGAAGTGTACTTATTTTTATTAGTTAAAACATTTATTCGTTGCTTTTCTGCCTTGAGTTCCTCAAGGCAGCTTTCAGTTGTATATAAAGCAATGATTAAAAACACATGCAATTGTCGATAAATAAAAGCTAAATTATCCAACTGCAGTCCTAAGTAACACCATCTCCAGTTGCCTCCTGTAGACTGAAAGGAAGGGGGGCCAGGCACAACCCCCTGATAACGTGGAGCTGCCACTGAACAGCCCTCTCTTGCATACACCCCCCCCCCCCCATT